CTCGACCACCACCCCCACCCCTCGCCCCCCGGGACGCACCGGTCTTGGTGACGCCGGCGACGGTGTAGGTGCCGGGGCCGGGGACGGCGCTGGGCTTGTCGTCCCCGTAGCGCGAGGACAGCGTGAACGCCGGGGACCGCGCCTTCACGATCGTCCCGTTCGTCCCTGGCAGGATAAAGTGAAAAAATATAGCTCAGTCCTCACTGCAGTGAGTGATAGAGAGCGCATTTTCTCGTCGACGAAAACTTGAGGTCACGGACAGACGGACGGACAGACGGACAGACAGACAAACAGACGGACGGACGGACATGGCGAGCACACTAGTGCATTTTTTCCATAAATGAGAAAATGCGCTAAAAATGTCACTAAAAGTCGTCAAAATCAGGAAAAATTGTAAAAATAAAGAAAATATCCCAAAAAAGGAAAATAAAATTGAAAAAAATGGAAAAAATACGAAAAACGGAAAAATTTTGAGAAAGGGAGGAAAAAATGCCAAAAACAGAAAAAATTGAGAAAAGAAGGATATAAGGTCGAAAAATATAAAGGAAATAAATTTGAAAAAAGCAAGTAAAAGACCAGGAAATAGCCGTGATTCTTTGGCCCACAAAAAATAATAATAAAAACTCTCGCATGTGACAAAAACAGGAAGAAAAATAAGTGAGTCCACAGATCTGTGGGCGCGTGGGCGGAGACGCTGCATGGACGGCGCATTATAGAGCGCACGCCCCATCATTAGAATGCTATATATATTGCATGATATTGATGATGATTGCTTGCAGTTAATGATAATTATGGGGATGACATTTGCCTGATAACTGATATCGATGATGATAGGGTAAATATCATAATAATATCAAGTAACAATAATAATAATAAAAATTAAATAATAATAATATTAATAATAATAATAATCATAATAATAATGTGGATGGCATTTGCATGATGAATGCTATCGATGATGATAGGGCTAATATCATAATAATATTAACAGTAATAATACATATACAAATAATAATAATAACAATAATAATAATAATGTGGATAGTATTTGTATGATAATAATGTTCATAACATTTGCGCTGGTTAGATTTTAGCAAATCTCTAAAGTCAACGTAATTTTTTATGGTTCAGTTTGAGAAATAAAATAATAACACTCAGGGAAATGAGGGAAACTTTATCCAAATTTCGAAGCACCTTTGCTTTGTGTGAATCATCCTGACCCAGTTAGGCCGGGCAGAAATACTTATAAGAAACTTGTTTAAAATTGGTCACTATTTGGACAATAAGACCCCGTAATTTTTTTACGTGTATCGCATCACAATTCAAGGACTCTGCGTGAAATCTGCGCAAAATCTGCACATCCGCAGGCATGAACTCTGCGCAGGTTTAAATGCCACAGACACGGAAGGGCTAACACCCGCCCCCCCCTGTTTCATTCCCCCCCCCTCGTCTGCCTAACAGCTTCACCAGCGATTTCTCTGTCATTTTTATTTCTTAATAAGGAAATAATATATATTCTTCAAAGGAATATTTAAAATTAAAGTTTAAATAAATAAGTCAATAAAATCAGTTAACAAACGGAATCAATAAACTAAATTGAAGAAATAAATCAATAAAATCAACTATTAAATTATTTAATAAACTAAATTAATTCAATATTGAAGTACATCAATAAAGTGATGAAATAAATCAATAAATAAATCACAAAATAGTGTATTTAAATGAGCATTTTTTACAAAATAAATAAATTCACAAAATGTATTATTAGTTAAACTCATCAATACATCAGGGAAGCGAACCCCTCCTTCACTGCAGGGTATATATGCTCTTTTTATCCCCTCCTCCCCCCTCCTCCCTCCCACCACACCCCCCACTACACTGGGGGAGAGGGGGCAACCCCCCCCTCCCTCACGTGGGGCTGCGTGGGCACCCACCAGGCAACAAGCTGCAGCCCACGCAACCGTGGGCTGCAAGCGTCCAGGGTCTGATGCTGGGTCTGGAGCCTTGGTCTTATAGCTTGGTCGTATGGCTTGGTTGTATAGCTTGGTCGTATGGCTTGGTGGTGTAATAATACAAATACAAATGATAATACTAATAATAGTATAAATAATTATAATAATCACAATAATGTGGATGGTATTTGTATGCAAATGATGTTCATAACATTTGCGCTGGTCAGATATAACATTACATCTTATGGTGAAAACATAACATCTTATGTTGAAAACATTACATCTTATGCTAACATAACATCTTATGTTGAAAACATTACATCTTATGTTGAAAAAATCACATCTTATGTTGAAAACATTACATATTTTCAACATTAACATTGAGAGGCGACCAAAAATAATAATAATAATAATAACTGAATAATAATTCAGTTAGAAATAGTGTTCGGTTATTAAACATCTTATGTTGAAAACATTACATCTTATGTTGAAAACATCACATCTTATGTTGAAAACATTAACATTGAGAGGCGACCAAAAATAATAATAATAACTGAATAATAATAATTCAGTTAGAAATAGTGTTCGGTTATTAAAAGATGGCTGAAAAAAAAACACCATCAAAAATACGATTGTAAAATAGCGATATTTTTCGTCGGTAGTGCCATTGTAAATAACCACACTCAGTTAAACGAGTCGGTCATATTGTCCAAATATTGACTCACTTTCTTACACACAGCACGAGTAGAGAGATAGGACGTAGCACTGAAACTCGCTTTGCTTAGCTAAACTGGGTCAGAGTGACCCAAACAAGGGCAAAAAGTGCCACAAAGCCTCACACATTTCTCTGCGTGAGCGGTACTGAGGCAGCAACAAAAGTCAATCCTGACTTTTTTCAAGTCTAAAAGGAAAAAAACCGTCATGGCGAAACCAGTTTATGTGATCCAGAAGTTGGCTAACCAACAATGAGACTCGTGATTCATCCAGCAAACCTGCAGCTCGTAGAGTCATGAGTCTGGATGAGTCAGCCTAACCCACGCATCCAGCGTGGGTGGGTTAACATTAGAGATCCTCTACAGCGAAAACAATCCTATAAGTACGGCTGATTTAATTTAGCCTGCGCTATATGTTGATTTCTATTGGGATCTTGTAGTCAGTAAAGAAAATTAAAATAAATAAGAACAAGATGATCTAATATATAATACTTGATAATTTAATTATGAATAGTTGATATTTAATTTTAAATAGTTGATAATTTAAATTTGAATAGTTGATAATTTAATTTTAAATAATCGATAATTCAATTATAAATAATAAATAATATAATTTTGAATACTATTTACTATCGTCAATGTCGACAACGTCACCATATCACATAAGTCGTCGGCCTTCAATAGAAACGCTCTATTTGAAGACATTACTCAACAAAATCTTAATTTATAACGCGATCAAAAAACGATTATTAGTGATTATGAGACAACCGTACATTACAAATCGTATTTCTGATCAGTATTGCACGGTTTATCGTCATTGACGGTAGATAATTTAATTATTATACGCTATGCATCAATGCATGAAATAGGGAGTAAAGTACATTTATGAACTAAAAACTATAATATATTGTTTTTCAGTGATTTAGCAATATTGTGAGAAGTTGATTCTGCTAAGTAATATATTACGATGTAACCATTTTCGTATCGACATTCCGGTACGTGCAATTAAGCAGCCTATTGGAGTTCAGTACTATAATGTGCTTCGTATATTAGTTGCTTATTAACCAAACTATGAAAACTATTACTTTTTATTTTAGGAGCAGAGTAAATTATCAGAGCGAACTATGTTATCACGAGTCATGTTGAAGATTGAAAATTCGTTCTTGAAGAAGGAAACTGAGATAACGTCAACTGCACGCATACGAACAATTGTCACTAACATACGATGAAGCTACGAACAAACAGCAATTTCATTTAATTATTCATAAGAAACGTAAACGATCATCAACAAATAAAAGGATGGAATCACTAAAACTGCATATAATAAAGTACAAGTAAAAATTTTGACCCTTTTATTTATTGAGAAGAATAATGACGATAAAGTCCAAGAGTAAAGCACAATTATTAAAGTATTTGCTTCTTTTAATCGGAAAAAAATACTGAAAATGACATTGAGACTCAGAAGCAGCGAACATTCTGGCACCCGGAGAAACTTTCGCGCTGCAGCGTCAAGGTGAGATATCCGTGGCTGCTGGGCCATACAGGAAGGAGAGGTAAAAACAGCTGTTTTGTTGTGTGACTCATACAGAGCTTACAGCTGTATATTTGTGTGACTATCTTCCGCTTTACGACGTACTTCGGCAGCTGGCATACAACGGTCGTAACGTATCTTCCGCTAGCAGCGTCAAGGTGAGATATCCGTGGCTGCTGGGCCATACAGGAAGGAGAGGTAAAAACAGCTGTTTTCTTGTGTGACTCATACAGAGCTTACAGCTGTATATTTGTGTGACTATCTTCCGCTTTACGACGTACTTCGGCAGCTGGTATACAATGATCGTAACGTATCTTCCGCTTTACGACGTACTTCAGCAGCTGGCATCCAACGGTCGTAACGTATCTTCCGCTTTACGACGTACTTCAGCAGCTGGCATCCAACGGTCGTACCGTACCATTCGCTTTACGACGTACTTCGGCAGCTTGCGTTTACCATTATTTTATCTTTATATTATTTGCTGAAACTTTACGACGTTCACAAATGTATCTACTTCCGCAGTTTGTAATCGCCATGATAATGGGGGCAGACCTTATCCAGAGTGACATATCTCACCCCCTCACTCATGGCACATCCTGGTACTGATTACTTCTCAACTCATCAAGGTTTATTCGTTGCTTAATGCGTGCCAGTCAATAGGATGGATGTGGCATCTGTCCATGCCTGCCTCAGCTGGATCTATCCACATTCTCATGAGCTTATCCACATTTTCGTGGATTTATCCGCATTTTCATGGATTTATCCACATTTTCATGAGTTTACGCACATTTTTTGTGGATTTATCCACATTTTCGTGGATTTATCCACATTTTCATATATTTATTCACATGCTCCATGTTTATTTTACCTAAACGTCCGAAGTACACGTAATGGAACAGCACAGAGCAAAGCGAGAATATTTTTAAGATGAATATAATGAGGTAAGAAGATTGCAATATATTATATGAGCATAATATTAATTTTAGATAATATTCTCACCGAAAGTTGACGGCAGTTTAATGACAGCGGGGCCCGGGGTTGAGAACTCTGCGGCTATGGGCCCCCGGCGCTGCGTGGGGGTGAATACGAACGGCTTCTTTTGACGGCCCATCTGCACTCACAGAAATAAGTGGGCACAATTATATTTTAATTGATTTCTTTACACGTAGAACTTTACACATAGAAATTACTTGTTGGTACATAGAATTGTAGTGCACGCAAAGAAATAAGTGGGAACAATTTTATTATCGTTGTTTTCTTTGTACGTAGAACTTTATACAGAGAAATTATTTGTTTGTACATAGAATTGTTTATTGTTGTTTGCACTTAGAACTTATGACCACGGTAAAGGTTACGACCAACACAGTTCTTAAAGCCACAGCAGCCTAGGATCAATGCCTGAATGAATATTGCTCAGGATGATCAAAATTTGTCATTACAATTAAATAAATCGTCAGATATGAGATACCTTGTGAAAGTTCATAGTGAATATTTTCACATACATAAATTTAAATCGAACTGTGGTGAAAATATCGAAGAAATTATTCGCAATTGTTCAGCTATTTAATGCAGGTGAATTTTTAGACGAAATGTATTATTGGAATTGAAAATACTTCAGAATTTGCGACTATTTCTAACCATTGCTTTTATTGGATAACATAATTTTTATTAGCAATAATTATACATTCATTTTTCCGGCATATTTCATTGTGTAACTCGAAATTTGAGCATCTTTTCGAAAATATTTTAATATTTATGCGTAACGATATATATTGATCATCCTGACAAACGGGACGCTAGTGTCCCTGGGTCACGATGACCCAAGATCGATGCCCAGACACGGGACGCGTGTGTCCCTGGGTCACGATGACCCAAGATCGATACCCAGACACGGGACGCGTGTGTCCCTGGGTCACGGTGACCCAAGATCGATGCCCAGACTCGGGACGCGTGCGTCCCTGGGTCACGGTGACCCAAGATCGATGCCCAGACTCGGGACGCGAGTGTCCCGCGGTGGCCTTGGGTCTCCGGTCGATCTTGGGTCCCAGTTTCCCGGCCCAGCCCTCACCGCACCCGCCGCCCTGATTTAACTCCTATTATTATTAAGCTACCGTCAGTATTTGTTATATTTATTCACTTCAGTTTCCATTAGTAACGATGATATTTTTCCAGTCCAAATTTTTCTATTTTTTCCATTTATTTTCATCAGTACCGATGAAATTACGATGCTATTATTAAATAAATTAAATAATTTATCGTTGAAATTTCATGGCCATGAATTCGATCTTACTGGGTTCAACTGCATTTGCATGCGTAGTGTTATATGGCATTTCCTATTGCGACAGCTACCCTTGTCCTCAACAGCTGTTTCTCCCTCCCAACAGCTATTTCTTACTCAAAACAGCAGTTTCTTCCTCCTATAACAGCTGTTTCTTTCTCCAATCTGCTGTTCGTAACTCAGTGCTCTTTCGTAGCACAGCATGAAGCTTTAACTAACAGCTGTTCGTGCCTCCAACAGCTGTGCATGTCTCTTAACAGCTGTTCGTAACTCAACATGAAATTACCGACTTAACAGCTGTTTACGCCTGTTAATAATAATATATTCAACAGACAAAAGATTCAAGGGATTTTCGTGTCTGTTAACAGCTGACAATGTGCCCAGCCTTGTCAAAGCGCGGATTTAAAATTGTAAACCATCAAGTTACGAATAATGGTCATGGATAAATCATCAAGTTACGAGTAGGTAATGGTCAGGGTTAGCCATCAAATTACGAGTAATGGTCAGGGTTAGCCATTAAGTTACGAGTAATGGTCAATCCTCCCAACAGCTGTTTCTTCCTCCCAACAGCTGTTTCTTTCTCCCAACAGCTGTTTCTTCCTCCCAACAGCTGTTTCTTTCTCCCAACAGCTGATTCTTTCTCCCAACATCTGTTTCTTCCTCCCAACAGCTGTTTCTTTCTCCCAACAGCTGTTTCTTCCTCCTAACAGCTGTTTCTTTCTCCCAACAGCTGATTCTTTCTCCCAACAGCTGTTTCTTCCTCCCAACAGCTGTTCCTTCCTCTCAACAGCTGTTTCTTCCTCCCAACAGCTGTTTCTTTCTTCCAACAGCTGTTTCTTTCTCCCAACAGCTGATTCTTTCTCCCAACAGCTGTTTCTTCCTCCCAACAGCTGTTTCTTTCTCCCAACAGCTGTTTCTTCCTCCCAACAGCTGATTCTTCCTCCCAACAGCTGTTTCTTCCTCCCAACAGCTGTTCCTTCCTCCCAACAGCTGTTTCTTCCTCCCAACAGCTGTTTCTTCCTCCCAACAGCTGTTTCTTCCTCCCAACAGCTATTTCTTCCTCTCAACAGCTGTTTCTTCCCCCTAACAGCTGTTTCTTCCTCCAAACTCTTAATAATAATATATTCAACAGACAAAAGATTCAATGGATTTTCGTGTCTGTTAACAGCTAATACTGTAATGTGCCCAGCCTAAGGAGCGGATTTTAAGTTGTAAACCGTCAAGTTACGAGTAATGGTAGAGGACTCGTAACCGTCAAGTTACGAGTATTGGTCAAGGATAACCATCAAGTATAACATTATAAGCATCTCTTCATTTACTTAGATTATTTGTTCGTTTAATGAAAATTCTTATTCTGATCGTGAATATTGCTTTTATTTTGAAATAAAGCTAAACTTAGTTTTGCATAAACCAATACTAATAATTGATGAATGAAGCAGCTGCGCAATAATTGACTCAACAATATAATTGATATTCTGTGCAGCAATATTATCAAGTGAGGTTTCTGACTCACCTTGTAAGTGTGAAGTTCAATACTACGAGGAGGAGGAGACGCGGACGACACCACACCACACGACAGCCAGAGTGCAACTGCCGCAGCTACAGCAGCTGCCCACATGCCACCTTACCTTACCAGCATCATGACGTCATCGCGGGCACGCACTTATGGCGGTAATCAAGACCTGCTTCCAGAAAGATACTTCCTGCATGGCTCCAGAAGCAAGCAGATGCTCGATATTGTCTGCAAGATCATATATTGCATCGGCCTAACGATTAACATTTCCTGGTGAAGCTTTAGATTTACGATTATGAGATTTTCGTTGGACTTGCGTCAACCGAAACAAGTTTTGAGAACGCAGCTCGAAGGGAGTGATATTATCTATACATTTAGTGCTGAATAAAACAATAATAGAATTACTCGACAAGTATTAAGCTGAAATTTATAGTATTTAACCTACAAATGATGTGAGACTTAAGGGAGTTGGGATTCCTTAAGAGAATACAATTCACGAACACCGTGGGCGAGACTATAGCATGAGGCAAGCGTGGGTAGAAGTCTGCGGCGCGGGTAGAAGTCTGCAGTATAGGATCATGCGTGGGTGGAAGTCTGCAGTATAGGATCATGCGTGGGTGGAAGTCTGCAGTATAGGATCTGGCGTGGGTNGTGGGAGTCTGGAGCTTAGATCACGAGTGGGTGGGAGTCTGGAGCTTAGATCACGAGTGGGTGGGAGTCTGGAGCTTAGATCACGAGTGGGTGGGAGTCTGGAGCTTAGATCACGAGTGGGTGGGAGTCTGGAGCTTAGATCACGAGTGTCTGGGAGTCTGGAGTAATGCACATAATTGGAGGGAAATCTGGAGCATGGAGCAGGCGCGGGTGGAGTCCGGAGCCTGTTAAGTGTATGGGTGCAAGTTAAAGACACATAACATAACACATAGTAATGAAAAGGAAGAGTGTGACTGGAGACTAGTAGGAGATCATAGAATAGGTGAATAAATGATCAGATAAATCATGTGCAATTGATTGAATAAAATTTGACGGAAAGATAAAAGATAAAGTCGGCATGAGACTAATGAGACACTTGCGTCGGAGTGAGCATAGGAGATATGAGTAGACAAGAGCCCAGAGAAGGAGAGTGCAAGAGGGCATGAGAAGAGTGGGCAAAACTTCTCATTCCTAATGTAACAGAATGAGTGGGCAAGAGGTCAGAGAAAAAGTTGGCAAAAGATCAGAGAAAGAGTTGGCAAGATATCAGAGAAAGAGTGGGCACGAGATTAAAGAAAAAATGGACAATAGATCAGAGAAAAAGTTGGCAAGAGATCAGAGAAAGAGTGGGCAAATGATCACAGAAAAAGTTGGCAAGAGATCAGAAAAAAAGTGGGCAAGAGATAAGAAAAAAAGCGGGCAAGAGATCAGAAAAAGTGGGCAAGATATCAAAGAAAGATCGGGCAAGAGATCAGAAAAGATTGGGCAAGAAATCAAAGAAAGAATGGGCAAGAGATCAGAAAAAGAGCGAGCAAGAGATCAGAAAAGAGTGGCAAGGGATCAAAGAAAGAGTGGGCATGAGATCATAGAAAGAGAGGGCAAGAGATCAGAAAAGAGTAGGCAAGAGATCAGAAAAGTGTAGGCAAGAGATCAGAGAAGAGTGGGCAAGAGGTCAGAGAAAGAGTGAGCAAGATATCAGAGAAGAGTGGGCAAGAGATTAGAGAAAGAGTGGGCAAGAGATCAAAGAAAGAGCGGGCAAGAGATCAGAAAAGAGTAGGCAAAAGATCAGAAAAGAGTAGGCAAGAGATCAGAGAAGAGTGGGCAAGAGGTCAACGAAAGAGTGGGCTAGAGATCAAAAAAGAGTGCGCATGGGCAAGAGATCAGTGAAAGAGTGGGCAAGAGATCAGAAAAGAGTGGGCAAGAGATCAGAGAAAGAGCGGGCAAGAGATCAGAAAAGAGTGATCAGAAGTAGAGACGAGAGTAGGCGCCGTATCGATGAGTCTGGCAACGCATTGCACGAGTGTTGCCATATAAGCCGCGACCTTCCTCGAGCTGCGTTTCCCGCTATCGTACATGGTCTTAAGACTGACATACCAACCCCCGTCTCCCTCCCCCACTCCTCCTTCTTAATCCAGCAGACACTTCACTTCCACTTCAGCGAACTCACTTCAAGCTTAACAAACAGAATGTAAAAGTAGTATCGGTGCTGAAAAACTAAGTCCAGAAATAAGTCCAGAGGAGATCTATGAATGACCAAAACACGTTATGCTAGGTGTGAATTGTTTGATATTACACTCAAATTTACTAATTACTTGAAGCTTCAGACATCGACGCTTTTGTAACCAACTCCAAAAGACTGCCGTACTTAGAACTGTAGTCTGTCGGACGTAGAACTTCTTGCCGGCTGCCCTTAGAACTTTTCACTAGCAGCGCTTATAACTTCTTGTTTTCGCACTTAGAGCAACTCGCCTGCATGACTTAGAACTTCTTGCACATACAACGTCATCTTCTACTTACTCTTAGAAAGTGACGCCAGACGAACAAAATATTTGACACATTATCATTGAAGGAATCACGCCAGCGATAGTGCCATACTTGAACGCTCCACGGCTGCCATACTGAACAATGGCGATCTCCACGGTCCAAGTTCACATGTCTGCCCACGCGTGCTCAAGGTAAGAAAGTTGGCATTTAACAAACGACAGTTTACACCTCCGAGACAGGAATATTAGGTGCAAGTCAAACCCACGTTAGTAGCCCTGCCCTGGTTGCTTAAATTTTGCGTTCTCCAATAATTTAAAAGCAAAGAAAACGCCAAAGTAAATTCACGATATCATCATCAAATCATTTTCGATGAATTGGTGAAGTTGTGATTTAAGCAGAGTAATGATATCAGGAACACTAAATAAGTCGAGCATTTGAAACGCTAAAAAAATTATTTCAAATGGTGATAACGTCATCAACAGCTCGAAGTGATACAGTCATCAGTAGTTTGCAGTGATACCATCAAGCAACAGTTCGTAATGATAGGTCATCAATTATTCATGACATATAAGGATATCGAATTGATCACGCCTAGTAATATGAATAAATTTAAACGATTTAGTACTACACGCAGTTTAACTGCTCACTGAATATAATCTGTAGACAAAATCATTATCCCTAAATTCATACTCTACGCTAATTACAATTTACTCGCTACTTCGCGACTTGAAATTAGTTTTTTTTCCCTATGCAATTAAAATTTCATATAGGTTACAAGTAGTAGTAGTATTATGATGGTTTACTAGCGCTTCAGCTATCAAGCTATTTCGCACCGGAGGTCAAAATATAACATCGCCAGCAAGGCCGAAGGTCTTAATTATTCAAAATCTCAAGTTAATCATCACCCACATTGTCCAGCCCGCTGAAGTTGGCTCGAAAGAAGCAGCGTTAGCATCTCAAAGAGACGAAGTGACAAGGAGGGACAGGTGAAAAGCAATAGGAACTAAGACACTCGAACAAGAGGTCGCTTACACGGGACGTCGGCGCCCGCACGAGAGAGACAGAGAAGGGAAATGTAAGGAATCCCACCAACATAATAACTTAATATAAGGAATGCTGCCTACATAATATCTTAATGAAAGGAATCCCACCTACATAATAACTTTACCCCACAACTGAGACCTACAGCCAGACACCGCGAGCTCAGCGGTGAGCGCTCAGGAACAATCCCCCTAGGAGCGCGAGATCCCATAGGACTTCTGACGCGCACAGACACGCGTCAGAAGTCCCCTCTGAGGGGTATAGGTTAGAAGTCTTTAAATTAATTTTTATGAACTGATTGAACTTTTCCGATGAGGCATTTGCTGGAAATATTATTATCAGTGACCATTAAATATAATACTGACACTTGTATAAAAAATAAATGTATGCAGGATCATCATGAACATTCAAGAATCGGTGGCAGAAAATTTATTGCTCCAACATTGGTCATGTAAGTGGTTGAAATTAACGTAGGTAAGAAGAAGTACTAGTAAAGGAAATTTTCCTCAATCATTACATAGAGTTAACGTCTTTTACAGAAACTAAATAAATTAAGATCATTACATGCTAACCGTATTACTTTGAATTAACAATTACACGATAAGGAATGAATAATATGAATAATGAGTATTACTGTAAATCAACAACTAAACGCTAAGAAATGAGTATAGTGAGAGCATTACTGTAAATTAATCCCTAAATAATATCAACAAAGCATGCAACTAATGTAGGAATTTCCTATAGTATTACAGAATTCATAAAATACTCAGTAAAGTCCTAATCAAATTTTTAATACCTCACATTAGAGTTTCAAATACTTGTAACTTTCACTATAAAGGAATTTGTGTATAAATTGAGTGAGAAAAAGTATTTGCACTATTCTGAATGTCAGATAATAACTATTCCAAAAGAATTCAAGAGAAGAAATCAGCAAAATTTTATGAATTAAAAAAGTGGAAACTAAAGATATGTTCAAAGACTTCCAGTCCACAATGTCATAGGTAGTTATCAAACAAATTATGAACAACTATCAATAACCTGCTAATTCTAGAAAATACTATGCACCAAACCCAGGCAATTTAACATAAAATACAGTAAATGAAACTGAGAATTATGAGGCTAAACACGAGAATTCAATCTTTCGCTGGGAAGCGGCACTGCCTTCTGTGCTTTGTGCACCCTGCGTTTGCTGAGATCATTGCGGTGCTCTGCCTTGATGGCAGCAGCGATGTCTCGATCCTCCTTCTGCAAAATGAACAGATTCATTAATAAGTGGGTTTTGATGTCAGGCACATAAAGAGATACATAGGTAATTAAAAAAAAATTTGAATTCAGCTTACCTAACATTTAACTAAAAAATTGATTAAAATTTTAAAATATATATAGGTATATCAGATTAAAACAACTATTAAATAACACGACAGACTAAAAACTCAATGTCTCCATATGAAAGTAAAATAAATGAATCTATTATACAATAATTTCAAAATACTGACACCGAATATAGCTACTCAAAATGTAAGCACAAACCATGCTCTTTTTCAGCTCAATCATCTGCTTCTCTTTCTGCTTGAAGGCTTCCTCTCTAAGCTTATCTTCCCTCTCTTTCTCGGGGTTCACAATGATTTGCTTTGTATCTGCTACCCACTCATCTGCACTGGGCTTTACAGCTCTGAAAAACACAGTCATAATCAGGGCTCCTCTCGGAGTTGCAAATGGAATAAAATTGTACATTTCTGAGGTTTAATTAAATAGTAATATCAACTACGGTATTTAAGTAAAAATACAATGAATAATAGCAATACCTAACATTAATAACAATTTTAGAGAAGCAAACAATAGGTAACAAAAATTAAAACAAATTCATTAAATCATCAAATAGTTTTGTATTTTAAAACCAATTCAATAAAAAAATTATATTGTTCATCAACTTCCATAATGTTTACCAATAACATAATGAAAAATGATATTACTACATTATTAAAGTGACAATTTTACAAAATCCCAAACTGCTGGCTAATTTCAAACAAGGCAATCAGCCAACATCAAATTTTATCCATATTCAACATACAGTATATATTTAAGTACATTTTTGCTGCCACCACACAATTATCAGTATGTAGCAGTAATCACCATTACCTGTTTTCAATCAAATAGTCAAGGGCTGCTCCAAAATCCACCTTAGAATCCATAACAATTCTGTCACCATCTTCTCTCCAACCATTAGTCAGCATGAAATTTTGTGCTCCTTTGAATCTCCACACAAGGTGGTTAAATTTTGAATTGCTTGTTCTCAATGATCTGAAAGAAAAATTTATACTGGAGGTTGGAAAGGTTAAAGATATAATAAAAAAACACTTCACATATGGTTGATAAATTTGTCATCACTTCTTCTCAATGACATGATAGAAAGGGTTATATATACAAAATAGAAATGTAAAACAGATTGAAGATTTGTGACTTTTTAAAAATTTAAAATTTCTCAATTAAATTGATTTCTTGATACTTTAGCCTTTAGGAACATAGATCTTGAAGATAATGTAGTTGCAACCAAATCTGAAAAATATGGTAGCAAGAGGAAGACTTCTTAGTTGACCTTCATTATGATTTATGAGTTGGGAATGGGAATATAGCTGGACTCAGTGGACTGGCATTTACTTCCATAGGATATTGAACAAAAATTTGAACAAGACCAGGCTATCAGAAATGAAGAAAAAGTTTCAAAATATCACTTGTTTGCCAGCCCACTATGCTGGCAAGTGGCAAGGCTAGCAGTTTGAAGAATGGCACATCAATAAACATATTGAATATACCGTACTTTAAAAACTGGAAGAAAACATTATAAACAAACCTGTATTTTGTGTTAGTAGGTTGTGAGAGAATATTCCTATAAATATCCACCATGGTCTCTATGCATGTTCGCAGATCCTTTGATGTAGCTTCAGATCTCAATTGAGAAAAAGCAGCCTCCATGATTTTTATCTGCAATATGTTTAATGTTATACAGGTCAATCAATTTACCAGCAACATTCATTAAATTTTCTAGTTTATAAGTTATTTTATTGACTAAGCAAGAAAGGGTTCAAAAAGAAGCTTTAATCTAAAAATATACAAGTTAACAAGTAACAACTTCCTTGAATTATTGCATATGATCATGAATCATGATGGAGTCATAGACTCAGTCACTTTACACTTAGGTAGACTGCAGGGTCAGAACCTTCAGCCTCTCACTCAAAGGAAACTGGTGTTGCTGTTGCATAGTAGTGCTACTGTAGTGGTGTTACTGTTGTACCTACATAATAATTAATACTTAATTTAATAGCAATAAGGAATTTCATTCTTCTTGACAGTTGACACCACACACCAGACAACAGTCAGTCCAGTCCCATAACTCAATTTTAAAAGATAAATTATTATACATAATGATGAAACCAGCCAACTGACTGACCAAGCAGCCAAGCCATACCGCCTTGAGCCTTCAGACTTCAGAGTTCAGTGCCTTGAGTCTTGAGACTTGAGAAGTTGAGTGATCCATCACCCAAGTAGGTATTGCAAGTTTCAATAATTATTTATAGCAATGCATGCAAGTTTATAAACTTGTGAATTTATGATGACAAGCTGACGAGCAAGCATTGCAGGATAGAATGCAGACTAGTGTGAGAGTTATGTCAATTAATTATTAGAGAACATTGAAGCCCAATGCCCCAATCTACATCAGTGATCCCACAAAAATTAGGCTAAGTGCAAAACTCTGATGTGATGGCCAATCATTACATTGGTTGCATTAACAATCATGCCAATGTAACCTTTTTAGTGAGGTTCAGTCTCTGAATAAAAATAATGATTATGTACAATTATAGAGTACGGAGTACCTACAAAATACTCACGTTATGTAGAAGTCAACAGTTACGTTTAGTGGAAAGGAACTGTAGAATTTTTAAGAGTAAATTATAAGAACTTTGGCGATGCGCTCAATCTCACGTGGCAAATCTCAATCTCGCTCTGGTAGAAGTTAGAACAAAAATTCTCCGAACAGCAACAGCAAGCACCAGCTGTGCTCCGATACAGTATCGGTTTAAGGGGACCGGCTACCCTAAAATTTTCAATTTTGTCGTTTTTCGGTTTTTATACTCATCTTAAAGCTGGAATTCTCCTCTTTCCAATGGTATCACTGCCATCTCTCTACGTGAATATTTACGTTCATGACGGCTCTTTAAACGGAGGCGGGTGGGAGAGAGATTTTCTGTAGTACCCCTTTTTAGCCGTTTTCTATGAATTTCACGTTTTCTATCAATTTTTCGAAAAATTCATACAAACAAAATGTTATTTTTTTTACATTTTACGTATGTATGTGAAGTTTCATGATGATCGGATGATAACTGTAGGAGTTTTCTGGGGGGTTAGCCGGTCCCCTTAAACGAGTTTCGTACACGTCCGATTTAATAGAATATATGATTGGATAATATTATTCTATATGGGTGTAAATCAATATTCAATCATATTTAATGCAAAATCGTGTTATATTCATCATCGCATGACATTTCCCGTTAAGAAAATTAAATTTATAAGATTGCAATAAATCATCGAAATGATCGAATTCTGTTCAACCCATCACTTTCACATCCAATCCACATTTAGTCTGTGCATTTCACACTCTAGCAATTGCTCTCACGCAGAAAATTAGGTCCCCTCCTCTACTGCCATCATATATGCTATACTTTGGCATCTTTTTCATCTTTTGCAGTCTATGGCACTCGATCGACAATTCTACGGACCCGCCTGCGGACTCGCTTGCGGACTCGCGCAACTGAGACACTCATAATTCCTTCAATACCTAACGGATCTGTATAAATTTTGGAATGTGTGTATTGATTATCGATACGCTGCCGCAGGATTTATTACAGATTTTTACATGAATTATTTTTTAATTAAAACCAATAAACGTATTTTTTAAGCAACTGGGCCACTCATAATTCCTTCAATACTTTTAACGGATCTGTGTGAATTTTGGATTGTGAGTATTAATTATCGATACGCTGCCGCAGGAATTATTAGATTTTTACATGAATTATTTTTTAATTAAAACCAATAAACGTATTTTTTAAGCAACTGGGACGCTCATAATTCCTTCAATACTTAACGGATCTGTATGAATTTCGGAATGTGAGTATTAATTATCGATACGCTGCCGCAGGAATTAATACAGATTTTTGCATGAATTATTTCCTAACCTAACCTAACTTAACCTAACCTAACCTAACCCAACCTAACCTAATAATAAGTCATGTAAAAATCTGTAATAATTCCTGCGGCAGCGTATCGATAATTAAAACTCACATTCCAAAATTCACACAGATCCGTTAAGTATTGAAGGAATTATGAGTGGCCTAGTTGCTTAAAAAATACGTTTATTGGTTTTAATTAAAAATTATTCATGTAAAAATCTGTAATAATTCCTGCGGCAGCGTATCGATAATTAATACTCATATTCCAAAATTCATTCAGATCCGTTAAGTATTTAAGGAATTATGAGTGGCCCAGTTGCTTAAAAAATACGTTTATTAGTTTTAATTAATAAAAAAAATAAATAATAGCGGTTTCAGCGTTTATTAGGCCGTAGGCCTGTCGCCGGTTCTTAACATCGCAGAATATTCACAGCATTTTGAGGTCTCGAACTCGCAACGCACTGCTACAATTCTGCTGTGTTTAACCGCCCGGCCTCCTTGCCGATTCTGACCAGAAACTGGCGCACAGAGCTGGGATCGAACCCGAGCCTCTCTAGTGCGTCAATCTTGGTACTCAGAACTTTAACCACTGGGCCCCGTCCTCCCCCACTAACATCACCCGCGTCACGGGGGAGTAATGAATTAAAAAATAATTCATGTAAAAATCTGTAATAATTCCTGCGGCAGCGTATCGATAATTAATACTCATATTCCAAAATTCATGCAGATCCGTTAAGTATTTAAGGAATTATGAGTGTCCCAGTTGCGCGAGTCCGCAGGCGAGTTCGCAGGCGGGTCCGTAGAATTGTCGATTGAGTCTCAGACTCAATCGACAATTCTAACTAGTAACTCACACTTGCGTACTCCCAACGACGAACTGGGGCCTGCGGCCTGTTAACCAAATACTCTCCTCATGTATAGGCTCTCAGCTGGCAAAACTGGACTTGTCGCGAGTACTCGAAGCGAATACTAGCCCCGTGTATAAGCACCTATAGCATGACACTTTTTACGGTCCAATTTGCTTACTCCCACTTCTACAGGTACATTTGTCAACTCATTTGTCGCACCCAACGTTCATCATACATTCTTTACAGTCGTACTTTATATCTCAATGCTGCTTTCATTCTTCTCTCTCACCGTGTTCCATCCGTATCTTCTCTCGAAGCCTCCACATTTTGATTTTGACTCTTTATCAATATAATAAGTCTTCGAAGTTCGTCATCGAGGGAAAAATTTCAATGGAAATGTTAGCGAGCTGCAGCTAAATACAGGCTCAATTTCATGATTGTTGCTGATTGAAGCTCTCTTGTCTTGGGTATTCAAATTTAGTTAAAGATACCACCCCCAAGAAAGATAATATAGCGACTTGATAAGTAAATCGTTACATATAAAAGCGAGGACGCAGAAATAGATATTGGCAAATCGTAGCCTCTAAAAAATTATACCACTCGTACAGCTGCTCAACGGTTCGTAATATTATGTGTCATTTCGATGACATTTGTTAAATGCTTTGAACGTTGCAACTGAAACTTAAGAGATACAACTGAACTTGCAAGTCGACTCCTATTCGTAAATTATAAAAGGTGGCGAATTCATTTCAAACTTCGAAGTATTTGAACTGAGTGCTTAGGACTGAAAGGTCTATGTTGATCACTACACTCGCCCTATACTGAAGCGGCTCCCAAATTATGCCTTCTGTCAATATGCGGAGGGAATAAGAGAAATGATGGTCATTTTGATGCGAAGGGTTATCCATTCATATTATTTCGCTAGTTATCCATTCATACGAATGGATAACCAGCGTGGTTGAGCATTTGCTCATTATATGTCTTGTTTTACAAGACGATTACCTCTCAAATTCGAGGGTCTTACGTAGAGGTAGTCACTAGGCTTGAAGACAGGAGAGGCTAAGCCACTAGGTTTCAAGTATAATGGGTTCTAAGTTTCTTAAGATTTATAATCTTATTTCAATTAATAATGACGGGTTGTATGATTATTTATCCGAACTCTTGGACTCAGCAATTTATGGGTATTCATCGCCCCGATGCATCGTCCCTTTTGCCAGCTTAAGAGCCATTTAACTTTTTCTCTGACCTTTGCTCCAGAAGCGGTCTCCATGCTGCGTCTTTGTAAGACGTCCTGAATAGACGTCTTAAATCACCTGCAAAAAGCAATTGATTCGCGGTTATTGGATTTTAGATTTGTTAGTACACCTTACGGCCGCACGTTGCTCGGACAGCATTTGGATTTGAATAAGGTGACTCTGAAAAAGGACATTCCAGAGTCAGGTCTTTACAGCGGCCACCAGCCACGCATCGCATATTCATTTTCTTAGTAGGAAAAGAGCGACCAGAACAAGTAGAAGCGATATTAAAGGGAAGGCTAGAGGGGTGTAAAAGTTTGTGTTAAGGGAGAGATGAAGAAAAATATAAAAACAAGGGAAGATAAATAAAAGCGAAAGTGAGATAGAGAGTCTCACTGCGATTGAGATAGAGAGCCTCTTCAATGAGGAAATTCTCAAGTAGCGACTCGGCGTGGAGAACTGTCGGTAAACCATTTATCTTCCTCCTATGAATAGTCAATCAGAAGAGCACATGTAGCAGTAATCACCATTACCTGTTTTCAATCAAATAGTCAAGAGCTGCTCCAAAATCCACCTCAGAATCCATAACAATTCTGTCACCATCTTCCCTCCATCCATTAGTCAGCATGAAGGTTTGTGCTCCTTTGAATCTCCACACAAGATGGTTAAATTTTGAACTGCTTGTTCTCAATGATCTGAGAGAAAAAATTTATACTAAATAAGGAGGTAGGACAGGTTAAAGATATACCTACTAATAAAAAACACTTCACATATATTGTGAAGTGTTTATATATATTGTTATGTTATTATTGTTATGCATACAAAATAGAAATGTAAAACAGATTGAAGATTTGTGACTTCTTAAAAATTTAAAATTGTTCAATTCAAGTGATTCCTTGATACTTAAGCCTTTAGGAACATAGATCTGAAGATTATGTAGTTGCAACCAGATCTGAAAAGTATGGTAGCAAGTGGAAGACTTTTTAGTTGACCTCCATTATGATTTATGAGTTGGGAGTATAGCTGGACTGGCATTAACTTCCATAGGTGATAGGATATTGAACAAAATTTTAAACAAGACCAGGCTATCAGAAATGAAGAAAAAGTTTCAAAATATCACTTGTTTGCCAGCCCACTATGCTGGCAAGGCTAGCAGTTTGAACTTTGAAGATTTGGCACATCAAGAAAACATATTGAATAAACTTAAAAAAACTGGAAGAAAACATTATAAACAAACCTGTATTCTGTGTTAGTAGGTTGGGAGAGAATGTTCCTATAAATTTTCACCATGGTCTCTATGCATGTTCGCAGATCCTTTGATGTCGCTTCAGATCTCAATTGAGAAAAAGCAGCCTCCATGATTTTTATCTGCAATATGTTTAATGTTATACAGGTCAATCAATTTACCAGTAACATTCATTTAATTTCTTAGTTTCTAAGTTATTTGATTGACTAAGCAAGAAATGGTATAAAAAGAGAAAAGCTTTAATCTATAAATAAACAAGTTAACAACTTCCTTGCATTATTGCATATGATCATGATGGAGTCATAGTCACTTAGACTGCAGGGTCAGAGACTCAGAGCCTTCAGCCTCTAACTCATCTTAAAGGAAACTGGTGTTACATGTAACATAGTAGTGGTGTCTGGTGTGCATAATACTTAATTTAATAGCAGTAAGCCAGTAAGCAATAAGGAATTTCATTCTTCTTGACAGTTGACACCAGACAACAGTCCATCCAGCATCTAGACTCAGTCTACCACAACTCAATTTGAAAAAGATAAGTTATAATAACACATAAAACCAGCCAACTGACTGACTGAGCAGCCAAGCCATACCCGTACTGCCTTCAGGCTTCAGTGCCTTGAGACTTGGATGATCCATTGCCTAGCGGCCTACGTAAGTATTGCAAGTTTGCAACCATTATTTATACTTTATAGCAATGCACACAAGTTTATAAACTTATCATCACAACTCACAAGCAATGAGCAACTTAGCAAGCATTGCAGAATGCAGCCTAGTGTGGACTGTGAGAGCCTGAGAGATATATATATATATGTAAAGTAATTATTAAAGAACACTGAATCTCAATGCCCCAATCTACTTCAGTGATCCCACAAAAATGAGGCAAAGTCACTTTGCAAAACTCTGATGTGATGGGATAGCCAAAGTAACCTTTTCAGTTTAGTCTTTGAAAATCAAAATAATGATTATGTACAAAATACTCACGTAGATCACGAATTAAAAATGATGTAGAAGTCAACAGTTATGTTAGGTGTAAAGGAACTGTAGAATGTTTCACTGTAAATGATAAGAACTTTGGAGATGTGCTCAATCTCACGTGGCAAAACTCAATCTCGCCCTGGTAGAACTAAATATCTCAAGGCAGCAAGCACCAGCTGTGCTCTGATACAGTATCGGTTTAAACGAGTTTCGTACACGTCCAATTTAATAGAATCTTTGATTGGATAATATTATACTTTATGGGTGAAAATCAATATTCACCCATATATAATGAAATAAAATGTGTTAATCTTCTCATCGCATGACATATCCAGTTTAGAAAATTTAATTTATGAGAATGCAATAAATCATCAAATTCTGTTCAAACCCAACACTTTCCCACCCAATCGGCCTTTAATTTGTGTATTTCAGACTCTAGCATTCGTTCCCACGCAGAAAATTAGGTCCCTCCCCTCTACTGCCATCATATATTTATATTAGCGGTTTCAGCGTTTATTATCGCCACCTTGTATATATTGCGAACAGGAGTCGATCTGCAGGTTCAGTTTGATCTCTCAAGTTTCAGTTGCAACGTACAAACTCTGGTAGAACTGAACATCTCCAAGCAGCAAGCACCAGCTGTGCTGAAAAAAAAAAGATGAAAAAAGATCTCGGAGTTTAAATCGACAAGGAGCTGAAATTTTCTAAGCATGTTGAAACGCAAGCTAACACATCCAACAAACTT